CCTCCCAGACTTCCTCACCCCGCCGCAGCCCCCCTCCGGCTTCTCCTTTTCCTGCCCCAGGCAGCTCAAAGTGCCCCCTTACTTGGGCTACCGGTTCCTGGGGGAGCGGGACTGCGGGGCGCCCTGTGAGCCAGCCAGGCCCAACGGGCTCATGTACTTCAAGGAGGCGGAGGTGCGATTTGCCCGGCTGTGGGTGGGCGTGTGGTCTGTGCTCTGCTGTGCCTCCACCCTCTTCACTGTGCTCACCTACCTGGTGGACATGCGCCGATTCAGCTACCCAGAGCGGCCCATCATCTTCCTCTCAGGCTGCTACTTCATGGTGGCAGTGGCCTATGCTGCAGGTTTCCTGCTGGAGGAGCGAGTGGTGTGCCTGGAGCGCTTCTCTGAGGACGGCTACCGCACTGTGGCCCAAGGCACCAAGAAAGAAGGCTGCACGATCCTCTTCATGATCCTCTATTTCTTCGGCATGGCCAGCTCCATCTGGTGGGTCATCCTATCCCTCACATGGTTCCTGGCTGCTGGCATGAAATGGGGCCATGAAGCCATTGAGGCCAACTCCCAATATTTCCACCTGGCTGCCTGGGCTGTGCCCGCTGTCAAAACCATCACCATCTTGGCCATGGGGCAGGTGGATGGGGACGTACTCAGTGGGGTGTGTTACGTAGGCATCTACAGCGTGGACTCACTGCGGGGCTTTGTGCTGGCGCCTTTGTTTGTGTACCTCTTCATTGGCACTTCCTTCTTGCTTGCTGGCTTCGTGTCCTTGTTTCGCATCCGCACCATCATGAAGCATGATGGCACCAAGACGGAGAAACTGGAGAAGCTGATGGTGCGCATCGGTGTCTTCAGTGTCCTCTACACAGTGCCTGCCACCATTGTCCTGGCATGTTACTTCTATGAACAGGCCTTCCGTGGCACCTGGGAGAAGACGTGGCTCCTCCAGACCTGCAAAACTTATGCCGTGCCCTGTCCCAGCCACTTTGCCCCTATGAGCCCAGACTTCACGGTCTTCATGATCAAGTACCTCATGACCATGATTGTTGGTATCACGACTGGCTTCTGGATCTGGTCTGGCAAAACCCTTCAGTCTTGGCGACGCTTCTACCACAGACTTAGCACCGGCAGCAAAGGCGAGACGGCGGTATGAGACCCCCCTGTCCCCTCTGGCACACATACACGCATGCACGCACAGTCGCAGAGGAGGGGGATACTCCGCACCAGAGGAAGCCAATGGCTCCCTGAAGAGGGAGGAAGGGAGGCTTTTCCAAACTTTTTCTTCCTCCCAGAGGGTTTGGGGGGAAAAATAAATCTTTGTGTAAAGGATCACAGACTGTGGCCGGTAGTGCTTATGCCCAGCTAAGTGGAAGAGCACAGAAAGAGCCCACTGGTGGGATGGGACAGTCCTTCACCAGTAAGAAGACCCCTTACTTCTCCCCCCTGCCACCCCTGTGCAGGAAAAAACCCAACCCAACTAAAACCATTCTGCTTTGCTTTGGACGAGAGGGAGGGAAAGCCAGATCTGTTGAGCTGCCCCTGCCGAAAAGTAGCCAAAACCTGTCTGAATTGGTGGTGTCCAACTGCAGTGCAGGCAGGGTAACGCCTGAGCCTGAGCCTGCCAGCTCGGCGGAGCAATCACGTGAGTACTGCGCACCCAGCCGCAGCCCGGATCGGGCGCTGGCGAGATGCCTGTTCTGTCTGCTCACAAGTTCCTTTTTACCTCAGTGATACCTGTTTTCATTGTTTTAAAGTGAAAATTCGGCCCTCGGTCTGTTGTTCTTGCTGCTGTGGGGAAGGAGGTGTTGCTATTCCACACCCTGAAAAGAAATGACTTGTTGCTTTTCAGCAGAAGGCTTTTCCCCCTTGCCTTTGTTCTAGGAGACAAAGGGGGAAACAAAAGTGTTTTCTGTGTAGAAAGGCATAAGCATGGGATCGGTTTTTATGGGCAAGCTGACGAAAAGAGGTCGTTGAGGTTCACCCTTGGATGTGAGCAGCTCGCAGAAATAAACATTCCTTTTATGAAAAAAGGAGAAGGCAGGATGTTTTCCTACCGTTCAATATGAGTCGCTTTTCTAAGCTGAAGGAAACGCGAAGACTTAAGAGGGCAAGAGGAGTGTAACCAAGAGCACCTGCCAAAATAAGAGCCATTAAAATACCTAACGTAAAACTGCGATTTTTTTTTTTTTTTTTCCTTTCCTTCCCATAAACCTGCTTTCTCCTGCGCTGCAGTGACCTCGGTGCAGGTAAAGTCATACACAGCCGGCTTCTGGGCACGGGGAGAACCCTTCTGGCTCACGATGGACCCTTTGCCTGTTCCTCGGTTCCTGAACTGCATGGCAGTGACTCGTGCAGGAGGAGGCTGGGGCTGGGGTTTAAAAGCAAGCGGTTACTGCAAGTGAGGAACCTTCTCATTTCAGCTGAAATACAGCAGGTTAAGTTTCTAGCGATGGCGTCTTGGAAGGAAAGACATTCAAAAATTAATCAAGACATTCAAAAATTAATCAATTTTCTTTCTGAAATGTGACAGATTTTTCTATTCTGAAATTTTTATGTTGACTGTTTAATTTTTTTCTGCATACTACTTTATATTCACTGAAGGGTTGTTTTTATAAGTGTGTGTGTGTGTATTCTTGCATAAGGACAAAATAGGAAATTCTGGATTTTTAGCAAGTCGTGACCCTATAGCTGCTCTTAATTTTTGGGGGGGAAAAAGTGTCTGGAATGAAACTTAAAAAGAAAAAAACCTGTTCAGGGTGAGGGAGCCAGACTGCTGCTGTCTGAGGGCATAGCAGTAGTCTGGGCATGAGGAATGGGCCCATCAGCCAAATCCTTCAGTAGATCTGATCTCAGACTTGCAGGGCTTGGGTTTTTGTGTTTATAATGTGCACGTGGAAGAAAAAGAAAAAAAAAGTGTAAGACAAGTGCAGTATGTATATTTTGTAAATCTCATTTTTGTAAGAAAATATGTATTTATGTTTTTACTTGATTTTTTTTTTGAAGGTCTGTAATGAGGCCCTGCTTCATTCCATGTACAAATCACTAAATAAATGATTTTTAATACAAGGGCTCTAATGAAGTTCTTTCAGTCTTTGAACACTTGGCAGGTTATAGAAGGGGGGGGGGGGAAGCTCTGTGAGTGGTATTTTCCCACCCTTCCAGCTTTATTGAGGGAGATGCAAGAGACTTTGAGGTGAAAACGCTGTGCAGAAACTCAGCTGTGACTTGAAACTGGCCTTTCTGAGTACTGGCCCCTCACAATAGAAGATCACATCTTGAGACTCTTTGAAATGTTTGCCCTTACTTGAGGTGCTTGCATCCTAGCCAAGTTTTCTTCTAGGCTCTGCCTCTGAGAGCAAGCTGATAAACCAGTTTGCTTATCTAGAAAATAAGGATAATGCTGTCTTCCCATTCCAAAGGACTTTGAGATTGAGAACTGGAGCGTGCTACAAGTGCCATAAATTAAATCCTCCCTTTGTACAGGTGGAGTGTTTTAGCGAAACATTAAGGACTAGGCCCTTTTCAGTAGCTTTCAGAGGGCAGTGTTTTGGACTGGCTTTTTTTTCCCCCTAGCACCTTTGCTATCTCCAGTTTTGTTCAGGTGAATTTTACTTTAATCTTAATAGCTAGCCTGAAGCCTACATTCTTTCTTATCACAGTCATCTGAAAGCCGATAGCTTCAACAGAATGGTCTATTTTATTTCATTTTTTAAATTGAAATGAATGTTTAGATCTCAAGCTGTGTTACTGCAATCATGGAAAGTGCCTTGGCAAACAGAATTTTACACCTGTGAAAAGATGATAGTTTCCAGCTTTTTTTCTCACAATGATTTCAGCCTATTTACTGGGTTCACTGCACTTCCTTTGCCTTAAATTCACTATGGCTATACTAGAAGTTACATTACAGAACAGAGATCCAAGATGTGTTAGCTGGATGCCATTGTGGTAGTTGTGGCTGCACTGCAATGTTGCTTCATTTACCGAGCAGAGTGTGCAATAGGTTCCTCTTAGGGCACTATTTTATGTGGACCCTGTGCTCTCAAACATGGCCTTTTACATTTAAAGTGTATGCACTACTGATTTGAACTTCTTTTCAGAGCTAGCTTCATTCACGCCGCCTCTAGAAAAGCCACATGGTTTATTTGAAATCACCTCTAGCTGCTTCCCAGAATCGGTCACTTGTCAAGTTTCCTTTTTGAAAAGGCCTTTGCTCTCCTGCGAGTCAGCCTGCTTCAAACTGCTCTGTGACATGAGCTCGCTGATCACTGCTGAGGGGGGTTTCATTCCACTCACTTAGGAAACCTGAACCTTTCTATAAACATTTCCTCCCATTAATCCATCAGAGCCGGCCAGAGCGATGGAATGACTGAAACAGCTCGTGCTCTGAGGGACTGGGAACCAACGGGAGCAGTGGTGTGACTGAGGCCCCTGTGCTGTGCAGCTGCATCGCTAAACATGCAATTAATCCTTAATACATCATGGGCAGCTAAGCCCGCAATTCCTGCAGGCAGCCTGTCCCCCCGCTCTTCTCCCCACTCACCAGACATCCTTGCTGTCTGGAGGAGAAACTGCATGTAGGTGTGATCACTACGTTTTTGTCCATATGTGGAAAAACTTCAATAGACACGCGTTTTTAGTTCACAAGACGTTCATATCTGAAAGGAAATGTCTTTGTTTCCACCAGAAACCACTAAAGCCGAATACTTTTATTTCAGTATTTCCTATTAGGTACTTCTGGATTTAAAGTTACTTATGCAAAACTATCCAAATCCTGGGATTTAAGTTGATTTTTAAAATTTGAGCTTGTAGGTGAAATTTGATGCTGGTGTAAAGTAGAAGCAACTGCTATTCACTTTTAAGCAGATGTGACTCACGTCAAGACTGAATTTGCTCGCAGTGGAAACAATCTGGAGAATTTCAAGTAGTGATAGTGTCTGGCCTTCTGGAATAAAAATGTCTATCAGCATTCAGATAACAAAGTAGCAGTTACTTTCATAAAGGAGTACAATTTAAAAAATCTCTTTGTGAAGCTGTCTGGAGAAAAGGAGGAAAACAAGCTTTTACTAACCTTTGCTAATTGCTGCAAAACTATTTTTCTTTGACTAATGTTTAAGTCCACTTTCAGTTAACATTTTTTTAAGAAAAGTTTCCTGTCCTTTACCTTTGGCCCTTGTCTGTGCAGCGTTTTTGATTCACAAGACCTTGGCAAGTGATAGATCAATATCCCAGTAACCTTAGAGCATATGCTACATTTTAATGAAAAATACGTAACACTGGTTCTTAAGCTTCAGAGATGTTTGTGTTACTTTCTAGAAGAAAGTATTATTATTTCAGGCAAGTTAAACAGGAGGCTTTAACAGTTCTACAGTTCATGAATAGCAGCAGCAACTGAATGTTTGTCTCCACAGAAAAAAGTGCTTTTATAATAGTCAGTGTTTGTTTGGGCTTATTTTTGGTGGAATACCCACACCAGCGATTGAATGTTTTTGTCTAAGTGCTTCATCCACAACCAATAGCTTTGCATGCAAGTAAAAAACCACACATCTCTGTGTTCACCAACTGGCAACAGTAAACATTATTTATAATTTCACATGGGCTTAGAAACCAAATTACTAGCTTGTTTTAAACAGTCTTTTTTTCCCTGCATCTCATTCTCGCTTCCAGACCTTACAGATACTTCATATACACCCTGCTCTCCATACTTGCTTTCTACTCCTGTTATTTTTTTAAATCATGAATCCAGCTGAAAGAAATTTGGCCTGTTGCTTGGAGAGGAAAAGATGACTCTGAATCTTTCAGCACTACGACTGTTCATTGAGATAGACTATTGCCAAGCCTGTTCTATATAAACCAGGATAATTGTTTCATGCCAACATGAGCGTGTGGTTTTGGCAGCTACAGCACTGCACAGGATAATATAGGATTGGGAGAATACATACAGAGCGTGGCAAGTTCCCAAACGCCCCACTTAGAACTGACACATTTTGACTGAAATGATGCCCAAACTGTAAAACTAAAGTATGTACATCAGGGTTTAATGCTGCTCAGACAACCAGTTTGTGCCACAGAGGAGGACAGGGAGAGTTTTGACACTGTTTAAACCCAAGGTCCAAGGTTGCCTGGTTCGGGTGGCTGGGCATTGCTTGCTTCCAAACCAGATCAGTGGAGGTAAGGCACAGCACTTTCCCCTAATCCAGGTAAAGACGGGGCTCAAGCATAGCGCTACCACAGCTGAAGCCACAGAGAATTCAACTGAATGATTCACAGTGGGAACAGACAGGCCCAAACAGGGTCATAAGTGTGTACTCCTCTACATCACTTGCTCCTCTCTGAACAGTCAGCCTAACCATGCCATGGATCCACAGGACTGGGATAAATGAGAATATGGATAAAGAGTGGGAATAAGCAGGGCCTAGAGCACATTTTTAAATAACAGTTGTACACTGGGGTGATCACCTAGTGATTAGTCAGGAAACCCTGCTAGCAACAACTTGTTCATTTTGG